AAAACTGTATCAAAATTCAATTACATGTCTAAGATAGTAATGGAAATGTAACATTAGCTCAAAATCTCTAGAATATTATAAGATATGCAGTCAAGAAAACAAGCATTGCATATTACATTTTACTGATCCGCTGGTTCTATAGCGAGAAATACACGTAACTGTGGCTAAAAGAACTTATGTGTCTATTTCACATGATTCCTGAATGTTATTTTCTAATGAAAACCTGTCAAAAAGTTAACTTTTACAAGGGTGCTCATATTGCCCCGTATGGTTGTTGATCGGAGCAAAAACTGAAATGTTTCAAACATAATAATTTATTGAGTCTATCATATTTTATCCACATTTTGAACATTGTATATTATCAAACATATTCCAAAGCATGAGCATGATCACAGCTATCATACATTTATGAATGTTTTTCATGTGTTATGATGTGTTTTTCTTAGGGGGACCATATTGCCCCTATCTACCCTATAGGTCGAAAATTTGCATTCTATACGATTTAACTTAAACATAATGCGACGCATACCATTGTTATATGCAATTTTGACCTAAACTGTAACAATTTACGATATTTACTGTCTGCATATTTTTATACGACTTCTGGTTGTCTGGGTGGAACAATGTGCTTCGAGAGTTGATTAGGAATAATTCAGGTGGAGGGGGTGTCTTCTGCTAGATTTTCAAAGGCAATTTTAGGGCATGTCGTTTGTAAGACTATTCTGTAGCCATTATTATGTCCATGATCAATCCAAAAAGAATCACAATCAGATCTAAAGTGAGACACCTTTAAAGGATAGAGGGGGATTCATGAAACTGTGTAGGTCGTTCCGGAAGATTGTGAAACATTCTGTAGTCCAAAAAAAACTTGGCCTGACTTTTTCATTTAAGCCATAAAGTGTCTTGAGAAGATTTGTTTGTATGAGTATCCTCTACAATTTGTAGGCTAAAGGGCGAACACGAAATTATTGCGACACATTCAACAGGGCATAACTTTTTTACCATTGGGTAAAAATCAACCAAATTTTGCACACTTTCTCATTGATGTGTATTGTGTACATGCTGTTAAACTCGAAGTCGTGTTTTTCGATTCAACGAAAATGGAGCTGAACCAACGCGAGTTGAGAGAACAAATTCTTTCCAAACACCTGGAATTTCCTGACCTGTCGCACCGGCAGTTGGGAAAAATGTTGAACATTCACCATTCAACCGTCTCCAGAGTGTTGAAGCGGTTCCAGGAGCGGTTGAACGGGACCGGAGAACAAAAAGACGGAGGGAAAGGTGAAGCGGATGATTAAAGCAAATCCCAACGTCTCAAGCCGTGATGTGGCTAAAAAGATCGGCATGTCGCAGAGCTACGTCCAGAATGCAAAGAAGAGAGCTGGACTACATACATACAAGGTACAGAACTTCCCAAACCGCGATGAGCGGCAACAATCGACGGCTAAAACTCGGGCACGGAAGCTCTACGAGAAGATGTTGACAAAATATGGCTGCTGTGTGATGGACGACGAAACGTATATAAAAGCCGATTTTAAGCAAATTCCGGGGTTGGAGTTTTTCACCGGCAAGAGCAAGTTCGATGTGGACGACAAATTTAAGAAGAAGAAAATGTCGAAGTTCGCCTCCAAATATCTCATTTGGCAGGCCATCTACTCTTGCGGACTGAGGAGTGAGCCTTTCGTGCCAAAGGGCACAGTAAATGGCGAGATCTACAAATCTGAGTGCCTCGAGAAGCGCCTTTTGCCGTTCTTGCAGCAGCACGACGAAGCTCCGCTATTTTGGCCAGATTTGGCATCATGCCACTATTCTAAAAGTGTCCTGGAGTGGTATGAGGCCAATTCTGTCCATTTTGTTCAAAAGGACATGAATCCGCCAAACTGTCCGGAGCTGCGCCCGGTGGAGCAGTACTGGGCAATAATGAAGCGGGAACTTCGGAAGAGCAAGAAGACAGTCAAAGACGAGAAGGACATGTTAAGAAAATGGAAAAAACTGAGAAACTGGTACCGGATGACACTGTAAAGACTTTGATGGAGGGCATCAAGCGAAAATGCGTTCAATTTTACACTCAAGGCTCCATCGATTAACTTTTCTTTTGATTTTTGAAGTAAATATATGTATAAAACTACCCTAAAATTTTGGTTTGATTCTAAACATTATAAGAAAATTGGCATGACATTTTCGGTGTCGCAATAATTTCGTGTTCGCCCTTTAGGACAGGGCAAGATCGCCACGCTAAGGTTGAAATCATGTTTATATTTCATAATCGCAATTAATACATTAAAATATTGTCTGTCCTAGTTCATTAATGTTCTAGCTCCCTAGGGTTGATGTAGTTCAAAATATTCAAATTTGACTATTTACAAAATAAATTTAAAAAAGTAACTTTTTTACACCGTTCTTAGACACTCCGGGGTAAGATGAGCACCCCTGCGGGGGAAGACCAGCACCTACAGCAGAATTAGTTCTAATATGATATGATAGTTTATAAAAATGAAATACCAGCACGAAGCTGAAACATTTTGAAAGTTGTAACAAACGAAGCAAAATAGGGAATATTTATTATAGCAAATCATTATTACAATAAGAGGATTTTTTTCGTTCGGCATATTTTTATCAATTTATCAGTCGTGATTGAATATTTCTAAATCATTTTTAGAACGTTGCTTAAGGGGACGTATGTGCAGTTTTTAAAAATATACGATTTTTGATGTAAAATTAAAGGGTGCTCATCTTGCTCCTGGTGGCGATCTTGTCCCGTCGTACACTGCGTAACAAAAATTAGTCAGTGGCGCTGGTGGTGTAGTGGTAAGCGTGACTGCCTCTCACTCCAAAAGGCCTGGGTTCAATCCCACTCGGCACCGCCATCTCGTTCTTAGGCATAGAATCTCTGATCACGCCTTCCTTCGGAAGTGAAGTGAAGCCGTACACAGCAAAAAAATAATTTTGATATCACGTCAAAGTGGATGCACTACAATTATGTCGAAAATATGGTGTAATATTAATTGCTAAAAAGGACAAAATTATCATTAATACAATGCATGAACTGACATTACGCTGCTTTTACTGCAGTTGTTTATTTATGTGGTCATAAAAATTACATGAAATTTTCGACATGATTGTAGTGCATCCACTTTGATGTGATATCAAAATTATTTTTTTTTGCTGTGTAGGCATGCTTGGCATACACAGTTTTGGTCACGATCTGCTCATTTGCTAATAACTTTGCACAGAGTTGACGAAACATAGTTCTTTTTGAAGCAGTAGATAGAATAGAGTTTAAGCTTGTGATAGATACGTAAAAAAAGTAGAGTTTAATTCTAGTTAACGAACTGTATTTGTTTTTTTGCGTTGTGAAAATGAAATGAGAAATGCTCGCTGCACATCTCGGGCTTTAAGAGTAAAGAGTAAAAATTCGTTGGTGTTGACTCAAATTTTAAGATTTATCCACTTTTTGCATATCTATAGTAAGCTATGATCCTAACCTATCCATTCAAGACCAAAAATTGAAATGGCCTTAACTCCATTATGTAAACAAACCTTGTAAGGTAATTTTCTCGCGAACCGAAACCTACATTCGCAAACTTAAACCACAATCGGGTAGAGGAGAATTTCCCCTACCTGTTCATAATGTTGGTTTGCCTTTTCGGACTTCGGTTCGCGAGAAAATGGCTTTACAAGGTTTGTTTACAAAATGGAGTTAAGGCCATTTCGGTTGATGCATATATTATGTCACGCTGTAAGGGGGGAGGGGGGTCTATGATTTTGTGACAAGCAATACATTAGGAAAAATGTCACGATAGGGGGTGAGGGGGTGAATTTTTTCTCGATTTAGCGTGACATAATTATTGGTCCATGCAATTAATTGTTGAATTACTTTAAAGAAAAACAAATTTCAACAACTGAGTGAAAAGTTATTAACAAATGAGCAATTGGTGTGTACAACTGTGTATGCCAAGCATGGCCGTAGGTCCCCGGTCCATGAGTTGATGGGTCGATAGGTAGGGTCCAGGTGTGGGAGCTGCTTTTCTGGCGTCGGTAGCATTGGTACGGAAAACAAGACGGCGAAAAAAAAAAGAGATCAAGAAAAAAACAAAACTTAGTCATGACGCTATGATAAAAATAGATAACATATTTTTTTTCTTTGAACATATAGAGAAATTAGGGGAATTTACGTATTCTCGTCAATCTAAGCAGCGTCCGCACTTCTATTAGCATTTTCACAGCGTCACGCACATATATGACGTGTCTGTTTGTTTCAATTTATCTGCTGCTTGCTTCTCTATCCATTCCAATCGACAGAATTCTTCAAAACTGTTTGAAAGCGTTTTTACAACGCTCTAAACTTCTCAGGTGAGTGTGAATATTGTCGGCAGCCTCTTTTTCTTCGGCAACCTTCCCATTAGAACTGCGTGTTAACCAGCTGTTCTATTATCGGCAACTCGAAATCAGCCCATTTTGTATTACGTATGCTTCATTTGAAGAAAAATCTGGCATAACAGGATTGCTCGGTCCTACAAATATAATCAGATTGAAGCTGAAAGACTAAAGAATCATTTGGATACATTCAGGGAAGTGTGTTGATGGTAAAACATAGTGAAATTAACGTTTAAATTTTGATTGCCGAAAACAGTCAATGGGTGCCGAAGCCGACATTTACCCTATGTCTTTGACCAAGTTGTAGAATATGTTGAAGCAACTTTTCTCAGGAAGAACAAATTCTTAGTCCAGTATTTTTTAGTTATGCAGTATTTTTATGGTAACTCCCTTTAATTTAGTTTTTCGATCATACCTTTTAAGTGATTATTTTAGCAACTCATAATGTTCTAGACAATTACCAGAACCGCAAAAATAAACTCTCTGGTCCAAGACTATCTTATTTCTGGAAGAGTTATAGCACATTTTTTGTGTATTTTTTTTTTAATTATTAACGCATGAAAATAGAAGAAAAATCCCAATTTGAATCCTTCTTTCATCTAATATTCCTTCTCTTTCCCCAGAATGGTATTCCATCGATCGGTTTCCCTGCCATCGATCCATTCACCCAGGACAGTAGCTACTTCGAGTACAAGAATCAGCAAATGTACGGATCGTTGCACATCAAGAGCGCCAAAACGTACGGTTTGAGCCGTGCCAAGATCCAGAATGTCCGAGCAACAGCAGAGGATGACTCCTTCGCCATGGAAGTGGACGTTCAGTTTCCAAAACTGATTACCGAAGGCAAATACAAGGGCGAAGGACGTTTCAACGCCATCAAGGTTGTGTCGAAGGGATATTTCAACGTCACCACCAGTATGTTTCGATTTGAAAGTTCGCATCAATTTGATGCATTAAATGTATTAATATTTTAGCCGATGTTACGACCACATGGAAAATTTCTGGCCGTAGTACCCAGCGTAATGGCGAAACATATGTCTTGATAGATAAATTCGACATGAGTCCAGAAGTAGGTGATATGAAAATCTTCGCCACCGGACTGTTCCCCGATCCAGGACTAAGTAATTTCCATATATTTGACAAAGGTTGCAGCTATTTATTCAATCCAAATAATTTCAGATCAAGTCGCGCTGGACTTTGTCAATCAGTATTGGCCGTCACTCTACAAGGAAATGCTTCCGGAAACGCGTCGATCCTGGGAACCGATCATGCTGGATGTGATCAACAAGATGTTTAACCGAGTTCCTTACCGAAGGCTGTTGCCCAAAACTGAAACGGAATAAAAAGAGGATACCCAGTGTATGTACTATGGTGCAATGTTGAGCTACTATTGCGAATGTGATATAAATAAAAAAAAATGTTGAAAGGTTTAGTAGAAGCATAAGTGATTATTTTGTAAAGAAAATTCAGTGTCCAATGTTAGCAGGTTACCTACATTTGGGAAAAACTGGGTTGTCCCAGAGTTTTGACTATTGTTAAGAGCAGACAAGTGGCTTTTATTAGTGTCCCTGTATGCAAAATGTACATAATATTTAATATAACAAGGGACACATTATGCAATCAAGTCGAAACGACTATTTCACTCAAGTGTTCATACGAAAAACGCTTCGTTTCAACTTCCCCAATGAAGCCCCAGGTTCAATGCAACCCTAATGATGCTTTGCTTTTCCAAACCAGCATTTGCGCTACATTGAGCCTGTTGATGTTAACAATAAAAAAAAATCAAGTCGATGACTCATTTTGCCCTCCTTACTCGATTAGATATATGAAACAGTCATTGAAGTGGCCAGGCAACTGGGTAGCTTAAAAAATTTTGGAATTCAACGCTGTAGTATCAACAATCAATACAAAACTAACGATTTTAAATTGGCTCACTACTTGACTAGCCTAATGGTCCCAAGCAAACGATTAACGTACCCCATTCTAGTCGAAATTCTAGTACTACGCAATGTTTGTTTTGATTCGCTATGAAAGCTTGACAGATAAAATGAGGGGTTATTGGTTTTTCCTATGTTTCGAGGGGTGAATCGATTAGCTTGGGACCGAAGAGAGTACCAGAGCTGAGCCAAAAAGTTGAGCACGTTATTTCGGGACCTTCTAGTCTTAAAGTTACCTCTATGGTAGTATGGTGCCCGTACCAGTTAACCTGGACTGGTAGGATCGAAGCAATTCAGAGAAAACTTGTGAGATATGCCCTACGACACCTTCCGTGGCGAGATCCGTTGAACTTACCACAATATGGAGATGGATGCAGATTATTGGGGCTGCAGGCGTTTGAGCAGAGGCGGAATGATGCCCAGGCGGTGTTTTTTGCTAAAATTCTCACAGAAGAAACGGACGCACCGGAGATACTAGGTCAACTTAATCTTTACGTTCCTGAACGATTGCTTCGCCAACGAAACTTGAGCCCCGGAACTCCTTGTACGGCCTTCATGATCCTGTCCGCTTCATGTCGGCTAGGTTCAACGAAGTCTACATCCTCTTCGACTTCAACTCTACTGTGGCAAAATTTAAGCATAGACTGACTGAATTGCATTAATGGATCGAGTGAGATTCGTTACTGTGAATGAAATGAAGTGAAAAAAATGTTGGACAACAATTGATTTTCCTTAAGATTTTAACTCCTTTGCACCTATAGTTGCGGTAGTGTTCCATTAATAGTGGAACCCTTAAGAAACCAATGCGTTCCACTATTATAGGAACCGAAGTTAGCAATTACTACTACTACTGGAACAGTGGTTCTATTAATGGAGGACATTTTTTCGAAAAATGTGTAAAATTTAATTACGATTTAATTTTTTTTTTTTTTTATTATAGTCACTTTAACACTCTTGGGTCATTCGTGACTTGTCCGGGGTGAGCTTTGAACTCGTGCCTTTGACGTGAGAGGTATGGATGTTAACCACTACGCCGGGGTCGCCCCCAATTACGATTTAATATTTTTCCAGCAAAATAGAGATTGAAAGCTATAGTTTGGCGTATACAAATTGTATGTACATCGTTTATTAATTTTTTTTAATAAATAAATTGTATTAGTTCCTCTACTACTGGCTCACCAACCCTAATCATTTTTATTTTCGTAAATGAGGTGGAATATGCGGTGACTATGATGAATAATAGTTATTTCATGGAATAACCTTATTAAAACATCACTAAATCATATGTTCATATTAATTAGGGTGGGTCATCATGATCATTTTTGGTTCCATTTGGGGTCTCAAACAACTGTGCAAAATTTGGAGACGATTGGCTGCAACCCGGCTTCCCGCATTGCGTTTGAAATGTGTATGGAAAATAGTATGGAAAAACCTTTCTTTTTTGCATTTTCATTCTTAGGGACCACAATTTTGCTTGAACCATGCAATTATTCATGTAAACATATTGTCCAGGAAGTGCCTTACAACATATACCGTGCTAGAATGTCTCTAAAGAAAATTTATAGTTGTTCAAATTGAATTAAAAGCCGAAAATCACTTATCCTGCCAACACTACAGGTGTACCAATGAAATTCAGATTGCAAACTTAAATAATTTTGGAGTTTCTTATCTTATCGATTTGGTATGTTCTGATTAATTATTCAAAAACAATTGCCAATTTCGTAAGCGTAGTAAGAGAGGGGAGCTTACTGAATCCACGCTCCATCCAATGTAAATAAAGCTTCAAACTGAAATAACTTCGTTGATTCTTATGAGAAATATGCGTTCAAAACCTGACCACTTTTCGTAACATGTTCATTTTTCGTACTCGCTAAGTGTACTCCCATATAGGAAACAAAGACGTAGTCATACGTCAAAAACGAAGAACACACTTAAAAAAAACTCATGTAAATTTAGGTGCTCTAAGAGGTACACATACGAGCGTCAATTTGGCATAAATTAGAGCCATAACAGACGCAAAATATAGCTTAATCAAACGTATTTTTCGTTGAGCAACGAATTGTTCAGTCTCGGAGCACTTAATATTACATGACATGTTTGTTTACGTCTCATCTTGTAAAATTAGTTGTTTCTAAGTGTGAAGATAATATCAATATTGCTTTCCATTTCTGACAAAGCGTTATCATTCGGCTTGTTGGTCGCTTGTCATTTTGTCATTTGGAGATATTTTTGATTACTTGGCCAGAATACATTAAAAATTTAAGTCACCTACAAATGAAAATAAGGAAAGATCTCATCAATTTCATAATTTTGTACTCCTACGGTCCTGCTGTGCTACTGTTGAACCAATGACTATTCCAAGACTTTTCTGGGCTATTTCCAAACTTGTTAAAAAAAAAACTCTACAGACCCATCATTATGACGGAAAAGGAACTATCAAGTACAAAAACGTTACTAAAGACATCAAACGTCTAAAACCAGAAACAAAAGCATTAGGCAAGCATGGAAAAAATCGTTTCATTTTGCATTTACTACTCACTCACACGCATACAATATCAGGAACGAGCAGTAGCACGATGGAAAATGAACAGGTGGGCAGGAACTCACAGTCTCCCAGTGTTGGTGAGTTCTTTGCCGTTAATGTTCACGAAAAGTTCACTATTTTGCTATACAGAAATTCAAAACAAAAATTTTATCTGCGGATTTGAACAGTTTTTGACCTGTTTCATACTACCGGAAGGTGTATGCTGGTCACAAATGCCGTGCCAAACTGATTTCCTACTCAATTAATCAATCTTTGATGTGAAATTCGCTAATAAACACGAGGCGCATTTCGTATAGCAAACATGCCATAACAAAATGGGCATGGTTCATTTAAGTAAACAAACTAACACTTCTTCCGACTGTTACACCTATGTATTAGCCGTCTCGGAGCAGTAGCTTGTGCTAGCCGCACTGATTTCATTCTTTTTCTCATTGCTTCTATTTTCTCCGATAAACGCAGAATTGAGCAAAACAGACAGCTGAGCGTCAGTGTTCACTCGGCTGTCGACAGAAGCAGGCCACTCTCGATGTGTGTCACGCGATCGTCTGTCGTCTGTTTACTCGGCAGCAACCATTGTGTGGTCCTCCTCATTGTTCTTCATCATCAGTTTATTTCGGTCGATGCATCGTCGACTTTGGAAAGCAACCGTTTCGTGATGAATGTGTGAGTGCTGCAATGGAAGCGCTCTGACCCCCGTTGGCGAATCTACCACACATTGAAATCACTGGAAGTGACTCCCGTTCTGGCGGAGGAGGCTTATTGGATAGTGGAAGATAAAAGGTTAATTGTGTTGTACCTTTTGACTATAGTTTTAAGGTGTATTGTATAGTGAACAAGAATCCTCGGCTCTGTAAAGTGAATTCGATTGAACCTTATCAAATCAATTAATAAACAAAAAAAGACACTGAGCGTTATGATCTTGAGTGTAGTAGGGTGGATGATCCTCACTTTTTTTGCATGCTGATCCTTTTACGATTGTATTCTGCTGAGTGAGAATTTTGAAGAAAGAATCACTTTTTATTTTCAAGCTTTAAACATTAATTGACCCATTTAAATTGGTATTAACATGGAGAAAAATATTGTACTGCATCCCATAAACGCAAGCGTCATGCAAATGCTGATGAACTGCTGTAACCAATTGAACTAATTTGTATCACTGACCCAAAAAATTATCGCACCCGGCTATTTAAATTGTTAGCGATCGGTTTTTCTGCGATCTCCCTCGGTATAGTAAATTGTTCGGCTAGGGCAGTCGAAAACCACATGCTCCGGTGTTTCTTCCACATTTCCGTAACCTTACCTGTCCAAACCGACGTAGGTACTTCCTGGAACAGCCGTGACCAGATAGAAATTGCATCAGGTGGTCATCGAATCCGCTCTCATTATTTTTCGAATTTCTTTGGTTTCCTTCCAATTGTAGCACTCGCTGTCCTCCACCAAGGTAATACCTATAGGGTTCATTCCGGCTGCTAGGTCCAGAGTTGATCGGCATGATTCTAGCTACCGCTGTGATGGCCGTCGTCGCCTTCTCGCAGGCATAGTCGACATGACTGTTGAAGTTTGGTCGGTCGTCCATCGCGACTCCTAGATATTTCAGCACGCGCTTCTAGGCTACGGCATATGCTCCCCGATGAGGATTTCTGATGGCTGTACCGCACTTTCGTTTTGTGGTGGGCTATCTGTAGTTTCGCTCCTTGCTTCAAATTTCCAGTCGTTTCGATCGCTTCGGCTTCCAGCATTGCCACTTCTTCTAGCGTTTCGCCTGTTACCGTTAGGATGACGTCGTCCGCAAAGCCAACGCCGTTGTACTGTTGTACATCCCATTCCAGAGCGTTGGACCAAGAATGGAACCTTGTTGAACTCCCACTTTGATCCTAATCGATATCTGTCCCATGTCTGTCTCGTAGACCAGTACCCGGTTCTGATAGTAACTCTTCAGAAT